ACAAGAGCTTTCTAGTCTTGTGGAGCAGATCTGGGTCTCTGCCAGAGAGCTGTTTATACTAATGGTCACCCCTCTACATTTTGCTGAATGGAGGGATTTGGTTAGCTGTGAAGGTGGACTAAACAGATTTGCACTGCTCTTGAATTTCAATGGTTAGTTTATGCTACACCAGAAATGTGCTGAAATATGCTTAAAAGACTAGAACAGGGATCAGCAACCTTTGGCACGCGGCCTGTCAGGGAAATCCGCTGGCAGGCCGGGACAGTTTGTTTACCTGCAGTGTCCGCAGGTTTGGCCAATTGCAGCTCCCACTGGAGGGATGTACTGGCCGCCGCTTCCCACAGCCCCCATTGACCTGGAACAGTGAACTGCAGCCAATGGGAGCTGCGATTGGCTGAACCTGTGGACGCTGCAGCTAAACAAACCATCCCGGCCGCCAGCAGATTTCCCTGACGGGATGCATGCCAAAGTTTGCCAATTCCTGGACTAGAAGACAATAAAACTGGAAATAGACTATATTCACAGCTAGCATACAGAGTTTCCATAGAATGGGAGAAGTGAGCCATGAACACTATCCACCTACCCCTGGCATTACCAAAAAATCCTGCCCTTGGCCTGGCTAAGAAGGGTGAAATGGATGGGAAAGAAAGAGACCCACCACAGCTTTATTTTGTTCCATAAAGTTTCAGATCAGCATCACAAGCCCCTCACCTCGCCACAGCAAAAAGGATGCCGCACTGTTTATCCAACCCACAGGCCAGATCCTTCCCCCATCCCTGTTCATCCCAGCTTGTGCAGTATGGTGAGGTGCGTGGAGGGGCCAGGCACCAGGAACACTAGCAATTTTTATAATCTTTCAAGGGAGAAAGGACTGTTGTGACATTCCTCAGACAACCTAAGTGTTCCCTTCCCAGACCTCACCCCCATTTATGCATAGCTGCTGTTTGTAAGAGGACGGTAAAATCTGGGATTGGAGGGAGGGGGAATTCAGTGAAACTATGTAAACTTTCAAGGGACAAAAGGCAGCTCTTATTAACTTATGGCAACCAATTATATAGTTTTTCTACAGGTGTCTCATCACCCAAGTGGGTCCTTTCTAAACCAACCCTCTCCCTTCCTCCGATCTGCACTGCCTCCCAGAGCTTTGCTGCCTGCATGCTGGCTGAGAAATGCACAGCCACAAGGGCACAATGATTGTTCCTTAATAATTTGTTTTCTAGCTTCTGCCAAATGCATAATAGTGGTTCATGGGAAATCAATAAAATCAGTTGTTATAGCCGGGTCTTGCTCGGGGCCAATTTTGGGTGGAGTAACTGGAGCAAATGCTAGGCTTAAAATCAGCAATGTAGTAACAGAAGAAGAGGGGATATTGGTGGAGAGGGTGTAGATCCTTTGTAACTTACCGGCTGTGGGTTCTGTTTCCTGCCACAGCTTGAGGAGCGGGGAAATTGCTCCTCCAGGTAGAGGTCCAAATTGGCTCCTCCAGGTAGAGGTCCAAAATGACATGTTCCTCGTTTTCCAAGTCTTCCAGGGCATCCTCCATGCCCCTGCTGCCTCCTTGCCAGGACTATGGTATCCTGTTGAACAATGAGGATGGTGGAGTGGAGAAAGGGGTCTTGAGCCACTTTTGGCTCTGTACCAGGAGCCCTTGACAGCAGCCAGTCCAGCTTGTCACAGAAGAGCCATGCACAATGAGCGCTTCTGGAATGTCTGTTAGTCTTTTGCCTTCCTTTGCAGGAGCCTCAGGCACTTGATGTGTTCCTGGCACTGGGCCAGAGTCCACTCAGTGTTCTCTGGCTCCAGCCTCTGCTCTGAGTGAAGAAATGGAGGACAGTGTACTCCAACCACACATGGACCGCACCTGGGGGTGGTTGGTTGGGCAAGGGCTGTTCTTGGAGCAGGATCCATGTTCACCTGTACTGAACAAAAGCATGCAGCAGAGAACGGTTCTGATGTGGTTGGTGCAGCTTGCTACTATTGCTGAAAATAGGCTGGCGATGGTGGGGGATACTGGAACCTTCAAAGACCAGGTCAGGGTGAGGAAGAAAAGGGTTCAGTGCATTGTGGGAATGGGGGTAGAGGACTATTGAAACTCAAGACCTTCTGTATGCCCCTTACAGCTGTCTACACTTCACACCAGCACGGGTATGGAGCCGTGTTGCATCCCAAGGTGTGTATTTACTCACACACCTCAGGTTTGCTAGTTTACTCACCATGTCCTCACCTTCTGACAAGTGCTTCAGGGCTTTAGATGTGGATGGTCAGGGGTTGGGACAACCACACGCATGAAAACTTGTGCAGTCACTAGTGTAGATGTACCTTTCGAAGTAAGTCAGCTCAGATCAGATTGGCAATGTGTGAAGGTACATATTGCAAGGGAGAGAAGTAACACTATATGTTTTATCTGAGGTGCAGAAACATGCTTCCAGGAAACTGGCCACGTATATGAAGGCTGGGTTGGCTGAATGGGGAGGCACTGCATTACCAGAAGGAACCTTGTAGCACTTTGACTTGAGGGCTGGACAGAAATGAGCCATGACCCTTTCGCTGCTGGTGGCAATTTTAATGTGGGCTGGTTGTGGAGTCAGGCAGGTTTAATTGGAATGAACCTGTGCATGAGAAGATAAGAAGACCTGGCTATCTTTTAGTAGGATTCTATTCTCATGGCTCGGCCACTAAGCATAAAACTGTTAGGCTTTTGTGAACTCTGCAGATGGCTTATATGCCCCCTTTGGAAAAGGGAGGTGTTTTGGGTTGGGGTTTGTTGGGCAGGCAAGAAAATTAATATGATTTTGTTGGTGACAGTGCCTCAGTCGTATGATTGGTAGGAGGGATGGCATATTACTGAGGAAGCTGGTCATGAATAAGTTGTTTTTTGGGTTTTAATTATTTTGTGGGGAGAAGTTATTGGCAGGGAGTGTTTTGCAGAAGGGAGAGGTATTGCCCTTTTAAAGAAGGGGTTGTGTTTATTTAAAACAAGGAGAATAAGTTATTTGTCTCATCAAAGATCTAGATCATAATTGTGAGAAACTTGCTTCCAAGAAAATATGGAGTTTTAACAATTCTTATGCAAGGGGATATCTTGAGAGGGATATCTTGCATCTGAGCTGAAGGTCAGGATTTAGCTTCCTACTTTGTACAGTTTGTCTCTGGTTTCTTTGAATATTATGTATTTCGGTCTGTACATTCCTACAGGAGGGATAATGTAAGTAATCTGACCACATTTTGGTATTTAGATTATACTGGATTCTCACTTTTTCTTCTCTCATCTGTCCTCTTTCCACAATGGGTGTTTGTTTTATTGTTTTTGTTTTTTAAGCTCTGTCTTTGTTAGGTACAAGAGAACTGCTCTAGACTGAGCCTGGGGACTAACTCCGTGCATAGCAGCGTCAGTGTTGGGTGAGTGTAAAGGTGGCTTAAAGTTATCTTTGCACCTCCACCCTTCCTGAGCTGCACCTGAGAAATGCATGGCACAGTTCACAATCTGGGCAATTTTCCTTTGAATTAATAGGGAGACTCATTAAACTAGAGTGGGCTTTTTTGTATTGCAAAGCAGCTGTAAACAAACGAGGACCGCACTGCACAGATGCCTCAGCCCCCGCCTCTAGTATGGTTTTGATTGACACCTGTATTATGTGACTGAAGATAGTGATTTTAAGTGACATCTTCAGGCACAAGGTCACAGCAAAAGATTTAATTTGTTTGAAAAGTTAAAACATGAAGTCACAGATTGCTTGGAACAGTTGGTGAGAGACAGTCAGATTAGCAACACTGAATTTGCTAGAGTTGTGAATGTGTTGTACTGTAGCTTTGAGTTTTAAGCTTATTTTTGCTTTTGTCCCGATATTCCTTTCAGGATCTTATACCTACTTATTGGCTGATAAATGAGACTAGTATATAGTGTCTCATGTCTGTGCCAAGTCAATTCTTTTCTAACTTACTTCTGGAGTCGAACCATTCCTGACCATTGAAACTGGATTAACATTTTTAATGGGGATGGGTGGCAGATAGAGAACAAAAGGGAGCATCACATAAAGAAAAACATTATTTTATAATGTATATTTTTGTTTGTTTTTTATATACAGAATATATGTATATATTTGCACACATTTTAGACCAATTTAGTTTTTCTTTTTATCATGCATTTATTTCTGTAATTCAAATAACATTCTAAGTTGTGTGTCATGCTGGGTTTCCACCAATTCTCAGTGTGTGGAACTCTTCCCTGTGTCCGCCATGCTAATGAATATAGAAGGAGTAATAATATCTCACGAAAGCTCAACTTGATTTTGTTTTTGTTACTTTATTGAAACACTTTTATTCTGTTCTCTTAATATTAAGCACCTTTATTATATGACAAGAATGGTTACTATTGTCTAGTGTCTTAGTAATACCTAGCATGAAGTTTATTGCAAATTCAAGAAATTAAAAAACCACTTTCTAACTTACTGATTTCAAGCCATTCTTTTCTTTTTTGTTGTTTTAATTTTCTGTAAGAGATGATATTGGAAGCTATGAAGAGGCAATATTTTATTTTACGTCTTACATATAAACATAATTGGACAGCCTTTCAAAAGCCAATACACAAAACGTTTGTGTTTTTGTGTGTACCCAATATAGGTATTGAAATGCCTAATTTGTTCCCATGTGTCTTTGCATCTGGAATTTGTATGCCTGTTTTAGGGTGTGCACAAAAGTGCATACTTTTCAATACCTGACCCACTTTTTTAGGTGGGACCAACTGGAGCAGTAAGGGTTGAAATCTGCATGTAAGCTCCACAACACAGAACTTCAGAAAGGGATCCTTAGAAATCCTACTTATCTCTTGCTTTTTTCCTTCCATAACTATTAAAGTTCACTACTGACAAATTCTTTGTTATTAACGTACATAAAGCCTAACTGAAAAATTATAGATTTCTATTAGAGGTATAGCAAGTAATTATGTTTTTATGACTAATCATTTAAGGAATTATTATAATTAGTATAGTATGTTTTCACAGGTCAGTCCAGCAGCTTCTGTACGATTCGGTCACTATTATGATGTATCTAAAACAGTGTCTCCAGAGCTACTTCAATCCATAAAGTGGCACCGTTTTTTCCTTCCTGAAGAAATGTCTTTGCACCCTGAAATAAAAACTTGGTAAGTTCTTAACCCATATGTTACTTATATTTTTAGTTATTTGCATGCAAGTTAAGGGGAAGATTTTTAAAAGTGCCTAGCCAGTTTATTACCTGTATCACTGGCTTACAGTGCACTTGTACTCCTAAAATCCTTTAATTGCTTTTGAAAATCTCCCCCTAAATGTTTGCAATCAAGGAGTAATATAAAGTAATACTGAGAATGAAAGGTCAAACAATAGTTTCAATTTCAAAAAGAAATCTAAGTCTGTTTTCCAAGTTGGAAATTTATGATAGCGTAGGTCAAGCACAAATAAAATGTGAGAGACCGGAAACACAAAGAATAGTCATAGCTGGCGACTGGCATACCTTTTCTACTGTATCTTTCTGGCCGTGTCTCAAGGTGCTTCTCTAATGTTAAATATAGATTAAGTAGTCCTATCTCTTTATTCAACCTGGACCTCTTGGTATTCTAATCTGTGTTTTATAAACTTCTAGGTATAGAGCCAAGTCCTGAGAAGTATTTTAATGTTATTTTTTTTAAATTAAAATACAGTATGGCACAAATGAAAAATCTGATTCATAAAAGAAATGAAGTGTTTCACTGAGTGCTTTTTCAGAAATGTAAACAACCTAAAGAGTACTCTGTTTGCTGACACAGTGTCAGTATTACATGATCAAAGGTCAGTGGTTTAAATTCATTCAGGCTTTCAGATTCTAGCTAGATTTGTAAATAAAGCAGTTTGTACACTTTTAGGAGATGGGACAAGTAAGGGCACTATTTCTACAATAAATAGTTCTACATAACTAACACACAGTGTATAATACACTTTTTGAATGGCAGGGGCCACAGAATTTGGCCACACAAGGATTTTATTTGGCCAGTTGCCAAAGTGGGGCTACATTGCCACCCAGCAGATGTCCCACTCTTCTTGTACCGCTCTACAGTGTGTCGCTAACTGGAATGGATTTCATGCCAGTAAATCTGTGGGTATGAAATATGTGTGTATTTTTATTTCTGATCAAGGTAAGCATTATGTAGGGACTCCATTCATAAAAGAAACTCTTACCAAAGGATGTGCTATTTGTGCAAGAAAAGGAGCAAATACACATACCAACCAACTATGGCTTTGAACCTGCAGCTAATTGAACTGATTGAGCATTTATTGGCCTCTGTGAACTAGAGCGCTTAATAGCAGCATTGGGAGACCTAAATATAATCACATCTTGCTGGCATTACTTTGAAGCAGCCTATTAGAAAAGGGTGTTAAAATGCACTACATTAAAAGAATACTAAGGTCTTCTGCAATGTTATGAAAAGAAATTTTAAACACTTCGATCAAGATTTTTAAGAATGATTAGTAGGGCTGTCAAGTGATTAAAAAAATCGTAATTAATTGTGCAATTAAAAAAATTAATCATGCAATTAATTGTGCTGTTAAACAATAATTGAATACCATTTATTTAAATATTTTTGGATGTTTTCTACATTTTCAAATATATTGATTTCAGTTACAACACAGAATACAAAGTGTTCAGTGCTCACTTTATACTATTATTTTTATTTCAGATATTTGCACTGTAGGACACAAAAGAAATAGTATTTTTCAATTCACCTAATACAAGTACTGTAGTGCAATCTCTTTAGCATGAGTGTTGAACTTACAAATGTAGAATTATGTACAAAAAATAACTGCATTCAAAAGTAAAACAATGTAAAACTTTAGAACCTACAAGTCCACTCAGTCCTACTTCAGCCAATCATTCAGACAAAACAAGTTTGGTTACAATTTGCAGGAGATAATGCTGCCCACTTCTTGTTTACGATGTCACCTGAAAATATGAAGAGGCGTTCGCATGGCACTGTTGTAGCCGGTGTCGCAAGATATTTATGTGCCAGATGCATTAAAGATTCATATGTCCCTTCATGTGTCAATCATCATTCCAGAGGACATGTGTCCATGCTGATGATGGGTTCTGCTTGATGATAATCCAAAGCAGAGTGGACCGACGCATGTTCACTTTCATCATCTGAGTCAGATGCCACCAGCAGAAGGCTGATTTTCTTTTTTGGTGGTTCATGTTCTATAGTTTCTGTGGAGTGTTGCTCTTTTAAGACTTCTGAAAGCATGCTCCACACCTCGTCCCTCTCAGATTTTGGACGGCACTTCAGATTCTTAAACCTTGGGTAGAGTGCTGTAGCTATTTTTAGAAATCTCACATTGGTACCTTCTTTGCGTTTTGTCAAATCTGCTGTGAAAGTGTTCTTAAAATGAACATGTGCTGGGTCATCATCCGAGCCTGCTATAACATGAAATATATGGCAGAATGTAGGTAAAACAGAACAGGAGACATACAATTCTTCCCCAAGGAGTTCAGTCACATAATTTTTTTAATGAGCATCATCTGCATGGAAGCATGTCCTCTGGAATGGTGGCTGAAGCACGAAGAGGCATATGAACGTTTAGCATATCTGGCACGTAAATATCTTGTAATGCCGGCTCACATTATAAATAAGAAGCAGGCAGCCGTATCTCCCATAAATGTAAACAAACTTGTTTGTCTTAGTGATTGGCTGAACAAGAGGTAGGACCGAGTGGACTTGTAATTGCTAAAGTTTACATTGTTTTGTTTTTGAGTGCAGTTATATAACAAAAAATCTACATTTGTAAGTTACACTTGCACAATAAAAAGATTGTACTATAGTACTTGTATGAGGTGAATTGAAAAATACTATTTCTTTTATCATTTTTACAGTGCAAATATTTGTAATAAAAATAATATAAAGTGAACACTATTTACTTTGTATTCTGTGTTGTAATAGAAATCAATGTATTTGAAAATGTAGAAAAACATCCAAAAATATTTAATAAATTTCAATCGGTAGTCTGTTGTTTAACAGTGCGATTAATCGCAATTAACATTTTTAACCGTGATTAATTTTTTTGAGTTAGTCTTGTGGGTTAACTGTGATTAATCAATAGCCCTAATGATTAGTGATTGAATGTCCTGAATTTTGTAAGCCCAATTGGGACACATTAAGAGGGCCTGATTTTGAGGGGGTGGGTGCTCAACACTTTCTTGGTTAGGTACCCAAAATCGCTTTTCACTTTTGAAAACGTAGGCCTCAGTCTTTCAAAGTGCCTAGTCATTCACAGAAAGAATAAGAATTTTATGACTGTGGAGACACCATTCCATTTACTTCAATCCCAATATTTTAAAAGGATCTACAAGTAATAATGAATCCAAGAACCTGCCTGTCTTTAGAGGTTGAAGATAGAGATTCAGTAACATTATGTACACAATAGATTTCTCAAAACTAATACAATTAATAGCATAGAGAAAAGGAAATATGTTGTAGAATTCATGTAGTTGGTAATTATTAATATGTTACCTGAATGTTTACATATAAAATGTATGCATATAATTTAAATTTGGAAAATGACTTGTCTTATGGCAATTTATAAAAATTGCATTAATTTCACAAAAATTGGACTTAAAAAAATACAAGTATTAAACTCTAATATGGTGTGATCCATACACAAATATTTTACAGGTGATTAAGGCTGTAGAGTAAGAGACTTTTCTCTACTCTTAGATACACATCTTGTAAATACAGCTAATGCCCAAGCATCTCAGATTATGCAAAAGTGTATTGGTGCAGATTATCTATCCCCAAATGCCCATTCAACAATATAAGATCATTTTCTGTGTATTCTGCGTGTGGGATAAGTTAGTATATGTAAAGAAACCAACAAACAAATTTAAAAGGTCCTGAAATTTCCTTTCATTTAACCATAAAATCCACACTATGTGCATAGTTCTTGAACTGCTAAATATCCAGGGATAAATCCTGGCCCCATTGAAGTCAGTGGGAATTTTGCCATTGACTTCATCGGGGCCAAAAGTTCACCCACAGTATACACTAGGGACCCAGCAAAGTGCTGAGCAACCTCAACTTCCATTGTGATCAGGCCCTATAGGAAGCCACATACAGAGCTCGTGCTTTCCTTTACACATTCCCACTCCTCCCTTGGGAGGCACACCCACATACTTTGAGAACTGCTGGTCTAAAACAATTGGTATATACGTTCTGCTGTATCCTTGTGATTTATTACTAGGTGCTGCTTTAAAACAAAAAAATTGAAGTATCAGTTTTTGTTAGGGATGAAGTAATACATTTCTTAGTTTTTTCCAGGCATATTCACTTCCTGGTTATTTCTTTCCTCCTTCCTCCCACCCTCCACACTACGTCTGTGGTTAATGTTACTCAAGGGAAGAATATATAACTAACCTTTAATTTGCAAGAGTTCATCCTGAATGCTTCAGAGCAGAATATGAGTTTATAAGAAAACTGTGGTGTATAAGTTATGTCCTGTGAATAGAATCAAAGTGGTCTTGTTGCCATTATGCCTTGCTTCCCAATTGCTATGCCATAGAAAACAGTGAATTATCTATTAACGGGCAGGGCCATAAATGTATGTGTTAAATTGTATGTGTTAAATAGAAACCAAGTGTTTGTGAGTGAGGTTACAAATCATCTCAAAATATCTGTAGATTTAAATTCTTTCATTAACAAAATTATTTTATTCAGTATGCTCATCGGTGCCTGGACTGTTTCTATAATTATAGCATATGCCTATTCTTTGATCGTTAAAATGTTGTCCTCCTCCCTATGCAGCTCACATGTGGGGAGGGTTTGTCTGGGACAGCAGGGGAAAGAAAACCTTTTGCCCCTTTAAAGATTACACACACATCCTTTCCACCCTCCCCATGGGCATTCAGGCTCCCTGTGGCTTATTAGTTGGACAGAAGGGTGCAACATAAGCCTCTCTTGTGTGCCCATGGGTGCCATTCTGCACCATAAGAAAAGCTTCCTCCCTCCTCACCTTTGGGATTAGAGTAGAACTGGGTTTTGAGGTCTTGCTGTGGGCATCATTCTAGTTGTCTTTTTGGGCTTGGAAAGTCCTTTTTCCACACTGTCAGATTAGTCTGGGCCATGTGGGGGGGGTTGTATTCCTCTCAGCAGCCTAGGGACCCATGGGTAGGTTAGGTTGTAAAAGTCATATTTTTACAACTTGACAGGTGTCCAGTACAGGTACTTGTTCAATAAGGGTTAAATTCCCTGATAAATCAGAATTGTAAGAAGGTTAGGAAAGGGCTGACCTAAAGACAGTGGGAATGGGGTCCAGGCTTCTAATATTTGCTACAGCAAGGAGACAGCATCTTCTTCCACGCTTTCCCTAACCCCCATGCCACGGGGAGGTGTTGGGGTCCCAGCAATGATCCTGGGACCAGGTTAATTGTTTGGGGTGCTGACAGCAGCCATCCACCAAGTGAAACAAAGTAATGGTGGAGGCTGATGGCAGCCCTCCACCAGTTGGCATGGATTTTAAAAGAAGGATGACCTGCTTTGGATGAGTTATTCCTGGGTAATTTCCATATGTGTTAATTACTAAAGTTGTAGCCTTGTTAAATTGTAGCCTTGTTAAATTGTAAATTTACAAAACAATTGTATTTTATTGTTTTTTCGTGTGGTGTCCGGGGCAAAGAAACATGAAAACGTTTCTTAGAGAGGTCATTCCTTACTCAGTCACCAAAAAGGAAGTGTCGTTCGAGGCACTTAACTGTTCACCACACACCTGTCTGTCAGCTATGTTCACGTACATTCTCTGAACATATCATCAGCTTGCAGCTTCTCAAGAGGCCCTGCTATACTCATTTCAATGATATGTGTGTGTAGAGTTATAAGATGTGGATTGCAGTTGAGAAGTGTCAGAGTGCATAACCATTTTCAGTGGTTTAAATAAAAGGAATGAAAACTAAATGGTTGGTGAACCTGTTATCTGTACTGTTAGTTCAAATAACACTCTTCTTTTGTACCTTCTGCCCAGATTGCCCAGTTAAAGCTACTAACATATTGTTTTACTTCGAAAAGATATAAAATATATTTTGGTAATTCGGGCAATCAGAAAATTTAAGCTGCAGCATTGCATTTTCTTGTATTTGCTGTCTTCAGAATGTATGTGCTCAGAAAATAGGTAGAAAGACTTAATTTTATGTAGAGCCCAATTTTCCAGATAAATTTGGCCAAAACAGCTTAAACTGTTTTTCCTAATGGGGTCTACTAACAGGTAATAAGCCTATTTTTCATATCTTTGATAATTTAACCTTTGTTAAATGCTTAGAAATTATCAACAGGAAATCAGACTCTGTTGTAACCAGGATACCTTCTTGCCAGCTCCTGTTTTATCAGTTACTAGATGGCTAAACAAAAAAGGATAAGAACAAATTGTTTAAACCCATTATCAGAATTAAACAGTGTTTAGTAACAAAGCTAAAATTAAAAAATGACAACATTTCAAAATAAAAATAATATTTGTGGCTTTAAAATATTGCCAGAATGATCATGTATTTTATTATGGAGTTACAGTATATAATCAACATTTTCCATGTCCATATTATAGTGAGCTAGTTCAAGGTCAGACAAACTATATTTTAGACACAAGCAAAAGAAATCCTATTGTTCACATTCAAAAGTAAGTTAATTTGTAGAATGTTTAGCTTTGTTTCTTGAATTCTTATTCTGCTGTGAAGCTTTTTATTTCTTAGCAGTAAATAAGGAGTTTGTTTTTTTTAAATTTCCTTAATGTAGCAGTGTACTAGTTGTGAGCACAGAAAGTGGTTACATACAGGGTTGACAGTGGAAAGAAGCTACACTCATTTTCCATAAGTTTTATCGAAAGCTCCCAAATACATTGTTTCACGCACACATTGAAAATACTAGAGCATGGTGGCAAAAGCAACAGGTCACCTTTGTTGAATAGATAGTGGTGTCTTGAGTAGATAAGGTATCTTCCAGGCAATGATTACAGCTGATGCTAGGGAATGGTTGACTGGAATTTATCCAAAAACTTTGACTTTTTGTAGTTGTTCTATTCTGGTTTGAGCTGCAACTTCTGTAGAATATGGTAGGTGGTCTTTAGACATTCCTCATGTAGACTGTGTACTGCTGCAGTTATTTGCAGTTGTGCATTTCATATGCAATATTCAATTAAAGTATCTACTGAAACATAGAGTAACTCAATTTAACTGATAATGGTTGAATGACTTGGGGCTACCAAAAGGGTTAAAGAAAAAACAGTAACCAAAAACTGAAGTCTAATTTTGACCCAGGAGTAAAACTCCTGCAATCTAGTTATATATGAGAATATTTTAAAGGTTCTGTTAAATTTTTTAAAATGTGATGACAGAAGACATTAAGATGTTATTAATCTACTGTAAGAACGATTTTGATTTCATCATTATACAATAAAAACTCCATGCAGATAAATTGAGAACTGTATATTTGCTAAAAGCTATTTTTAAATTAAAGCACCTTTTCGTTTCTGAGGTGAGCAATATGTAGCTTTAAGTGTTTGAAGTGTGTTTTTTTTTTTAAAGCCAGTTAATTTAATGCTCACTGCTAATTTGAAACAGTGTTTTGGTTGGTTGGGTGGGTGGGTGAGTGGGTTGGGTGGTTGGTTGGTTGGTTTTGTTTGTTTGTTTGTTCAAGGAACTGAGCATATGTTTGCCGGAAGTCTGACTTCTATGTGCTCCTCACCTGCACACACACACAGTTTATTTTCCCTCCCCAAATGTGTGTACGCAACTTAAAGTCAATTTTAGTAAAATTTATTTTCAGGAATGTATACTGTGAAGTACATTTAGAATTAAAATATTGTTAACCTTTGCTAAACCACAGAAGTAGCCCAATACTGTCAAACTAAACAAATGTTAAAATTAATACAGAACATGATAATATATTTTCTAAAGTCCTTAGGTGACTTTGCAGCCCAAGTCTCATTGAAAGTCAGTGGGATTTAAGTTCTTAAAGCTGTAATCCTATAAAGATTTAGGCACATGCTTAACTTTATGTACAATGAGTAGTTCCATTGACTTCATTGGGATTACTCAGAGTGCATAAAGTTAGTCGCAGATTCTGTGAAGATTTACTCTTGTGCTCACTTTAAAAATGGGAGTTAGGCTCCTAAATTATTTAGTCACTTGTGAAAGTTTTATCCTATGTCTTCCAAGTAACTTACAAACAAATTAATCCTCACAACTCTTCAGTGAGGTAAGTGTAGAAGAATTGTTATCCTTAAGGATATATGATAAAACTATATTATACTATACTGTTATGTATTTTAAGCTTTATTATGGTATAAAAATAACAAAAGGAAAATAAAACATAAACTGCACTGAATTTTCTTCTTAATCCATTTAAATGGAAAGGGGCTGATGGTAATTTTTTATTGATACTGTGATATGTATGAAAATTAAAACGGTAGAAGATGAGCTCAGGTGAACAGGATATTGATCAGGTGTACTTGAAATAGCAGTTCATTAGGTATGTGTTAATTATATGAGATTACTTCTGAAATGCTATGTGGTTTCATATTTTAAATTGCTTATTAAATCATTAATTTTCTAGGAGGTAAATGAGCCTTACATTGTCATCTTAATCTCTGCAGATTTTGCCTTTCGCATGTCATCAGGGCACTTAAAGCAATCACAACTGGCTTTCTAGAAATACTGTATTAACATCTAGTTTGTTCAAAGAAGATTTATTGCTTCTGCTCTGTTCTTGTTTCTATCATGTGTCTACCACTTTCAGGCTTAAAACTGAATCTGTTTACTTTCTGTTTACTTTTTTGTATGACTAATATAGATTCATAAAGTATCAGAATGTTTATTAAATTAAATTATCTTCTCACTGACAGTAATATGACCTGTGGTTACACCAAGCTGCTTCAATCTATCCAGAGGATCATATACCAAGAAGGATTTGATGGATCCTATCCCCAGGTACTGAGCACCTTCGGTGTCTTCTATAATCATGTAACTAATGTTGTTTTCAAAATTCTCTCTAGGGTTACACATGAAAGGTCTTGGAATAATTAACAGCCAACAAGCTGTTTCTAAGCATTGCTGAAGTAAACAAGTAAAGTAAATAGAGAGGCTGGTTCATATGTTAATGTGTATTCAGTTTTACTTAGTTCTCAACTGATATGGATAGGCTGTGCAAATTAACTGTAAACCAACATTTTTTTAAAAGGCTTATTCTATGCTAGTAGCTACTAAAATAGGTTGCTAAATGCAATGAAACTAGGCAAAGTGTATTTTCTCCTGTAGAATTTTCAGATAGCTGTTTTAACAACATGGAGTTCAGAATTAATTCACAAAACTATTGAGAGCTAGCAGCATATTCCACGCTGTCAGGTTTGGGGTTTGTTGGTAAATTAAAATACATGTATCTTTCAATAACAAGAATTGAAACACAAGAGCTTATTATAATGCCATTTTAACTTAGATTAACTATTTAGAACAGCTTACCTTCAGGCATCTCTGTAAATACTCATAAATCAAAGCATGAATCATCCACAATAATTTTTTAAAGACAACAATTTCAGAGGAAAACTTTTTCTAGTTTAACCAATGCTCAACTTAGTTTTCTTTGTTTTATTCAATCAAGAAGACAGCTTCTTTGGAGTTCACCTAAATAAAATAATCAGTCATGTGTGGTGATGCTTAATTGATAGATAATTATATTATCTTCATTGTTGTTATACAATAGAAACTTCATTAAGGTAGAAGTTACCTATTATCGGTTCTGGAGAATGTCAAAATATATAATTGCTGTATACTACTAGGCAGTTGAATTTAAACTATCTATGAGGGAAGACAGCCTTGGATTTTGTTTGGCTGCTTTTCTGTCTAGGAACGTTTTTTTAGGAACATTAACTATATGGAATACTTGTGTGTTCATTTAGCTTATTTTTGCAGTTTTCAGTCTCTGCAGAGATTCATGGGCAAGCATGTTTTCCCTTTGGTGGCAGTGCCCGTCTGGAGAAGTAAATTGGTCCCTGACAGGCACCTCTCCCCACTTGCTGTGGTAACCATGGCAACAGGCATGTCATAACAGTTCCCACAGTACAGTATGCAGAGCTGCTCCTCCAACAAGATGACAGGTCCTCTGGAAGCAAGAAATCTTACAGAATGCAAAAAGCAACAGCACCAAAGTGACATGAACACCCTGGGAACCTTCAGCCAGCAATTAATGTGCTACTGGAAAAGACTCCAATAACTGTGTTTGTTTTTCTTAGGTGTTGGTTTTAGCTTAAATATAGAACCTATGTATATTCCTGAGAAACATTTATATTTTAATACAGAATGATGGAGTCCATAATTTTTGGATAATTTTTTGCAAAAAATTAGGACTAAAACATCAACTAACATTGTTTTAAGGAATACTCAAAATGTGCACTATTTTAAAATATTTTGTTAATATTAATAAAATCAAAACCAAAAAACTCCGTGCAAATAAATTCAGAACTGTATATTTGCTAAAAGCTATTTTTAAATTAAAGCACATTTTAGTTTCTGAGGTGAGCAATTTGTAGCTTTAAGTGTTTGAAGTGTATTCTTTTTGAACCAGTTAGTTTAGTTTAAAAAGCCATTAGATCATGCCTAGATGTTAATTTCTGCTTCAGGGAAGATATAGAGAGCTTAAAAATGAAAATGATTTGCTGGAGCTGAAATGTTACTTTTCTAGAATAATCTTTTCCCTGTTCTCCACCTTTCTTCACACAGCATATTTTGCATGTTTAGGAAGTCCTGTATAATACAACACTCATAAAAATACATTCAAAATTGAAATTAATTGAGGGCCAGATCATGCTCTGGGTCTGTGACCTATAGATCTCTCACTTCTATGGGTAATTCAGCTGTTTCCATGGTATTGCACTCCTTTCCCTTAACCAAGTCCTGAGAAGGGCTTTCTCTATGGCCAAATAGAAAGAGGGTGGACCTGGGACAGGGCTGCATCTCCCCTACTTCCCCTCCATCCAAAAAAACAAAAACAACCCTCTGTAAAATTGTATTAACTTCTGACTAGTGCCCCCCTCCACCTTGGAGAATCGTCTCTCATTGGTAGTAGCTTACGTAAAGCTGGAGGAGAGCCCACAAGGACATGTAGGCCCAGGGCTCTGATTTTGTGTGGACCCCACCTTGAGATTTACAGGGATTGGTGGCCAAAACCCTTGCGTCTTCAGTTCAGTCAAGAGACAAACCTCATGGAGTTTCTAGACGTCTTTGCAAGTTGTTCCATGGTGGGGTCTGGCCCTTAAGGCCCTTCGCTACTGCTTCAAGTGATAATCCACTTGTGTAGACCATATGTGGACATGCAGGCTCACCATGCGCCTGAATCTGGAAATTTTTAGCAGCAGTGTCCATTGGTCTGCACATGCCTAGTGGAATGCCTCATGCTCTGAACCGAGGGCATCAATGGCAGCACAGACCAACGCCTCTCCAATTCTTTCTTACCACTGTATGTCTTGAGCCACTGCATACAGGTGCTAAAGAATTAGGTCCTCATAAACATGTCAGAGATGAAAGGCCCAAAGAAGAAGGATCTGGTTGTTCCAGCTCCACCTTGCAAACTAAAGAAGCTGTACCCCATGGTTCCTCCTGGCAGTCCAATGTTGGGATCCCATCCAATGGTTCTGACATTCTCTGTGCGGGATCCCCCAAACACTAAACCTTTGGATGACTCAGATCCCCTGTTGACACCTCAGAAGCCCCCCAAATACCAGGGAGGACCAAAACATTCACCTTGCCAGAGGAGATCTTCACTTTGTCCTACCTACCATCTCCCCTGCTACCATCTCCAGCTCTTCTTCAAGACATTCCTACACCCAAGGGGACCACCCTGAAGGGAAGAATATTACCCCCTGCTATGTCTACATCTAACATCCTCCCACTTGTTCTGTTAGCACTGCTGGTAGAACAGGAGCCTGTCATCTCATCCAGTGAATCTGATGCTCCTGAAGTGGCTTCCCTCCAAGGGAAACAAATCCTGTTGGAGATGAGGAAGGATTTGGAACCCCCCACATACTTCTGAATACAGATATGCAGAGGATAGCTGGCATGAAATGTCTTGGGGTCCTCCCCTCTGGCTGATCCCTAATGGTACCATGGCAGCCATACAGCAGATGTCCTGGATCCATGTGGGAATCACACCAAACCTCCTTTCCCAGCCAGTACCAACTGGCTTCATCAGAATTTGCAGAGGAGGAAGAGAGAGCCAGATCTGCTGGTTCCAACCAGTATGTCATCTTCCTGACCGGATTAAGTGAGTGTTCCATCATCCACCGGCCCACCCAATGATAACAAACATTACTAGCACTTGTTGCAGAGAGTGGCAGCCAAGCTGGAGTACCTCTCAAAGTGGTCCAAGACACACAACAGGACCTTTGGGACATCCTCTGGCCCTTCAAAGGCAGACCTTTCAGTAAGCCAAGCCATCCTGAAACCCATTAGATCAGTATGGCACACCCTGCCTCTTGTGCCCCTTCCCCAAAGAGAGTGGTATTTTGTACCAGCTAGGGGGCAGTGTTTTTATTCACCCACCCAACACCAAACTCCTTAGTGGTGAAAGCAGCTACAGAAGCATCCAGGACAAAATATTCTAAGACTGCTCCAGCTGACAAAGGTGCCAAATACCTTTATCTCTTTGATGGGAAAGACTTCTCATCAATTAATCTCCAATTCAGGGTCACTACCTACCAGGAGCTGTTAGCAAAATAAAATTTTCTTAATTATTCCAAATTTACAGATTTTAAAGACAGACTTCTCCAGGAGGACAGGGCCCAGTTCCAAGCCCCCATTACTGAAGGCAGGCTAATGGTCAAAACATCACTAATCCCCTCTCAGGAAGAGGGCACTTCGTTTGCAGCCCTCAACATGAAATACATTTATTTTCATATATTCACTGATTCCACAGGAAGTTCCTCAAATTTCTCATTGAGCTGGACCACTTCCAGTTCTGAGACCCTCCATTCGGATTAGTTATAGCACCCATGGTGTTCACAAAGGTCCTTTCAGTAGTGGCAGCTTGAATGAGACTGAACGGTTTCACTGTCTTTTCATATCTCAACAACTGGCTTCTGATGGGCAGATTCAGCACGGGAGTCCAGTTGGCAATTACATTCCTGCTCAGTCTTCTGTCTTTCCTGGGAATCTGTGCCAATGATGAAAACTTTATCACCCCCCCCCCCGTGAGGTCCATAGACTTCATAGAAGCATTCTTGGACTCAACTACAAGAGCCATTGCCCCACCAAGAAATTCCACATCATGAGCGATCATATAAAACAAGTCACCTTCAAACTTTGGACCACAATCAGGACTTGTTTCCTCAGCAACATAGTTTCGTGCATCCATGTTACAACATTTGCCAGGCTCCATCTCCGCAGCGTACAGATCTGCCTTGACTCCTTTTTTTTCATGAGGAAAAGACAATATCAATGCCAAAGTGTCACTTCCACTCAAGATTTTGTCCTCTTTCACCTGGTGGACAAAACTGAAGAAAGTAAGGGTGGGAATTTCTTTCCTTACCCCTACACTCGAGGCAACTATAATCACAAATGCTTCCCTGTTAGGTTGAGGAGCTCATTTGAAGAATTATGTTGCACAAGGTATCTGGACCCTTCAGGAGGCCAGGATGCACATTTTGGTCTGCGTTGTCATCACTATGTTGGTGATCTCTCATTTTCTTAAACCAAGGTTCTATGGTCCCAGTGTCTGAACTGGAATTTGGCTAGAAGTGGTGGAATGTGACTCAGCCCAGATGAGAAACAAGTCCAGCAACTGTAGGAGTAGGAAGAGGCTACTATTAGAAGTTTAACAGACTTTTGCCAAAATGGTCCCGAGCCTTTGAGCCCTGATACTCTATTAGCATTAGTGACTCATAGAGCCATCTCTTGCTGGCCAGGAGACTGCAACAGTTCCTCTCTAGTGTGGACCTGAT